ATTTTTCATAATAATATTATCTACTCTTTAGTTTCATTGCTACACAAGTTTAACAAGAAATGAATCACTGACAGTTATGTATCTCAGCCACTTCTGTAGTTGTCTGCTACTTGATTCACAATTTTCACAGTTTTTATCTTGTATCCCTGATAGAAGATGGCCAGAAATTTCAAACTCCATTCTAAGAACAAAAATTGTTTCTCAAACCATAAAAATTTTATATCACAAAAATAAGCGACTTTATAATTACTGTATAATATAATTGTGTACACCGATGATTCTTTTCATAATTCGACGTGTAACTGAATTTCATAACTTCCATGAACTTTTTTATTATCAACTTTTATGTCTTATGAAGAATATTCATAATTATACACATTGGTCTTTTACTTTATTTTATCAGAAAGTGGTGAACAGGCTTTGTGAAACAATATAGTAAAGTTGTTGTCATCAGTATCATATATTGTACTTAACTTCATCTTAAAACATCTGATTGAGGATATTTAAGTTTTCTACAAATTGGGAATAATATCCAGTGAGATTTAAATTACATGTTTCTATCACAGAAACATTTTGTACAAATTGCAGTAATTAAGGAAATTTTGTTAAGTTAGCATAAAAATATATTGCACATCTTTCCTTATAATAAGATATCTACTCTTTAGTTTCATTGCTACACAAGTTTAACTAGAAATGAATCACTGACAGTTATGTATCTCAGCCACTTCTGAGGAGTTGTCTGCTATTTCTTGATTCACAATTTTCACAGTTTTATATAGCTTCATCCCTGATAAAAGATGGCCAGAAATTTCAAACTCCATTCTACATGAGAAAGTAAAAATTCAACAAAAAATCTATCCCTGTTAAATTATTTTTGTGCACTGCAATATAAAAAGACTTATCAAATACAAACAAAAAATCCATGATGTAAAAAACGCGTCAAAAAACAAGTGATGTATATTATACATGGATGTGCACATGTCGAATAGAATTATCCTATTTTACTTTTATTGAAAAATCATCTCAGAAGTCTTAATCCATAAAAAATTCAATAGTAAAAAATGCTTGGACACACGTGGCCCATACCCATTTTATTTGAAAAATATCAATTAACTTTATAATTTTTTTTTTCAAAAATAAACATTAATATTCAAAGTAACTATTTATGATTACATGGTATATTCATAAATTTATAATAAAGCACAAAAGTCATATTTTGAAAACTTCCTGAAATGTGCTGAATTCAAACATAAATTGTCTCATAAGAAATATAAAAAAACGTTAAACAGAAAATATTAAATACCGTGTAAAGGCTTTATTATTCACAATTTTTGTTTTTATAATTTTATGCACAATGAAAGAAAAAAAGTGAGCAAGTTCACATACCCCACGCTCCCCCAAAAGTCGAAGTGCTGAAATTCCCATATCCTTTTTCCATGTAATATGCTCATCTATACACATTGTGTCCTAAATATCTGCAAATTTGACAAATTGTGTGCAATTTATGAGGAATTGCTTTAAAATTCTCTATATTCAAGATATGGCAAAATCTAAATGTAAAAGTGCGGAAATTCAATAAAAATAAAGAATTCATTTTCATTGAAATTACACACATTGTCTCTACACATTATATTCAAAAACTCTGTGCAGTGGTTTATGATTGCGCTGAACACAACTTATTGCGAGGGGTATACTCGAGTTTGATTTTGGTGAAAATATGACAAAAATTTAATGTGAATTTTTCTGTAAATAAATAATGATTATTATAAAAAGCATATAAAGAGAGCTGAAATTCCACATTCTACCTCATTAGCTTTTTTAAAAATTCTCTTTCTGCATATGTCCTGGCGACATTACTTTTAGAAATATTTGATTCCCAATGTTCCCTTTCCTATGATGTATATTTCACGTTTATTATATCCCCCGTTTAAAATTTAATCAAATATATCCGTCCCATCAAAGCTTTGGGGTACCATTTTCAGGGGTGTAGCAAATATTGGTTAACTTATACTATAGGAAATGTTAATTGAAGGTGTGGTTTTTTTTTTTTGCTTGTCAACTTTTTCAGGTAATGAAAAAAAAAAGGGCATATTTTCAAATACGATGCTACGTGCCTGCTTTTTGATTGGACACATATTTTGGGTTTAGCGACAACAGCAAAATATAGACTTTGCCATTTTAAAATTCACAGAAAAGTTATATTTTTGCTAAATAACTCAGTTTCTATTTCAATTTGGGCGTATGGGTTAATTTCATCTTCCAAATTAAAATTTTATTCAATTTATTTTACTCCCGCCAGAGAAAAATCCTTATTATTTAAGGCTTAACAAATGGTACATTTCAAAGTTGACAGTTAAGCTATATCATGATTATTGCCCTAACAGATAGGAGAGAGAGAGAGAGAAAGAGAGAGTTATACAAAAGAGTTATAAAAAATTATCCGTATTCAACCAGTGTCAAGTATCCCTACCCTAGCTCTTAAAATTATCTCTCAATTACTCCTAAAGAAATTATTTTTATACAAAAGAAAAAAATAGCTAGACTATCAGGCAATACTGAAATCTCATAAACTCTCTGTAACAACATAAAACAGTTACATTCCAAAATGCACATACTTTGTGGTCGGAACACATTCTAAAAAAAATCTCAAAATTTTGGAAAAATGTACTCTTCAACAATATTTAAATAACGGTCATTTCAAATTTTTGCATCACCCCCGCGCCTAAAAAAAATCAAATGTCTTTAGAAATGTCATAAACAGGGAATGGCCTTTCTCCGTGTGTGTGAGTGGTTAAAGCAGTCGTATAGATGTACACATAAAACTTTGTATTCTGGTTAATTGCTTTTAAGATTTGAAGTAGATAATTACTTTCAAATTACTTGGTTTAGATTTCACATTAGTACTAAAATAATCAGTTATAATTGACAAATGAATTTTGCGATAAAATATAAATATACATGACTTTGTACAGAATGTATATTAGAATTACATGTAGATAGACAATTCACGATTATAGCTTATGAACAGCAGTATTTTATTTTGAAAAATATAACTTCTCTTTCCACTTGTGATATTTTCCCTGACCAAAATGTGATCTAGGTGTATCAATGTGCTAGTCTGTACGGAGAATGACAGTGTGTTTACTATTGAGCTTTTATGGAGTTTATTTCTTTTTTGTGATGCATATTTCAATAAATGGAATTTAATATCACTTGACTTGTGCAAAATGCAGTAACCTTATTTCCAGGATAAACTGTTAAAATGCATCAATTGCATCTTTAGGACCTGCAAATCAAAGACGTGGATTGTTTTGTTCCATTCAAATGATATAATTTCAAAATGTGTTTGCAGTATTTTACTGCTTTTTATTTCAAGTTTATTCTGCATAAATTGGCGCACTGTAAAATACGTACTCATGCATCAAATTTCTCTTCCAAATTTGCATTTTTTCCTTTTGATTCAAATCAATAATTATTCAGAAATATGATTATTATGTTGTTTGTTGTGGTTTTGAAATGTCTAGATCACCGCATGTGTTCTCATATGCTTTACCATCGGAGATGTGCACAAGTCGATACCCAAGCCAAAAAATCATTCAAGTGTAACGAAATGGGGTATATATCGTTACAATGAGACAATGTATCTGAAAGAAATATGGCGGAATACGGCTATAGTTGGTATGAAACAAGTCGTACATAGATGAAATGTTGCGTTTTTAAGAATTCATGTCAGCTTTAAATATACCCGCAGCAAAAGTATACAATATTTATAAAATTAATCAATTAAAAATTGCTATTATACATCCAGTTTCATTGCATAAGTCATATATATATATTAAAGATTGTATCTTAACTCTAATTTTACATTCTATCACCATTAAACACATGGATTCAGTTAGATAACTTACTTGAACACAGACTGAGGGACCCCAAACTTGAGTCTAAGGTTGACAGAGGTCACAGGTAACATGTTCTTTATCCTCAGACAAACCATCACATCCCTGAATAAAATAAACATACACAGCTTAAGGGTGGTATTATTGCTGCATATTCAATCAAATTTATTGTGATTAGGATCAAAAACTGATTTTATGAAAATTTAAACACAGATTTGAAACTAGAATTCACATGAAATGAATTTTATAATGAATGAAAGGCATACATGAATGTGTACCAAACTTTAAATACCCCTTGAAAGCATTAAATTGGAAACAGAATTTCTTCCTATTTCTCTACATATTATCTGAAAGCATGTATTAATTATAATAATAAATGAATTGGCATTAAAATTTACGGTTGTATTACCTGCTGTGTTCTAGTGGCTGGACTGAGGATACAAAATGGAAAGGGGAGGTAATGCATTTCCACTGACAGAGTATACATCAATGTAAACTGTAATTAGAATTGTAACATATAAAAAATAGGAGCCACTGACTGGTAATCCTGATCAATTAGGTATTATCTAAAACCAAACAATGTGCTAGAAAAGTCACAACATGCTAGTGAAAGCAACAACATGCTAGTGAAAGCAACAACATGCTAGTGAAAGTGACAAAATGCTAGTGAAAGTGACGATATGCTAGTGAAAGTAACAACATGCTAGTGAAATTGACAACATGCTAGTGAAAGTAAAAACATGCTAGTGAAAGTAACAACATACTAGTGAAAGTAACAACATGCTAGTGAAAGTGACGACATGCTAGTGAAAGTGACAACATGCCAGTGAAAGTAACAACATGCCAGTGAAAGTGAAAACATGCTAGTGAAAGTAACAACATGCTAGTGAAAGTGACAACATGCTAGTGAAAGTGACAACATGCTAGTGAAAGTAACAACATGCTAGTGAAAGTGACAACATGCTAGTGAAAGTGACAACATGCTAGTGAAAGTAACAACATACTAGTGAAAGTAACAGCATGCTAGTGAAAGTGACAACATGCAAGTGAAAGTGGCAATAGGTCTGTTATGATTTTATGAACTATCCTGAGACATTAACACACCTCTCCAATCTGAGGACAGATGGTCAGTACACTGGGTGTGTCCACATTGTCCACTTTGGCAGATTCATGAAACACACAGGTATCCAACTGGACATTGTCTCCATAAGCTGAAGAAATAAAAGTAAATGAAAAATTTACAAAATGACATAAACTGTAAACTAGAACTGTCCAAACGACGGGACAAAATACTCCCCGCTGGGTTTTTCAGCGGTGCTAAATCATGAATATTTCATGGATCAAAGAGAAGAGAGAAATGCTAAAACATTTTTAGTGCAAATGTAATTGCTCATTATATTTTTTTATAAAAGAAACGAAGGTGCAGACTAATAAAAAAAAATAGACTAAATATACAGACCAGACACAAATTATTAATTTTTTTCTGTCAGTGACCTTGAACTTGCATAAATGACCAGGTCATTAGCGGTGTTTGTGTGAAGTAGTAGATTCAAGTTTTTCCATAATATAGAAATATATGGACCGGACACAAATTATAAAATTTTTCTTCCAGTGACCTTGAGCTTCCCCAAATGACCTTGTGCCAAAGTCATGACACACCCTTAGGTTATGAGCAATCCTTGTGTGAAATTAGAACTTACCAAGTTCTATCCATGAGAACGATATGGAACGGACAGGAATTATGAAATTTTTCTTCCAGTGACCTTGAACTTCCCGAAATGACCTTGAACCAAGGTCATGACACAACTTAGGTTATGAGCATTCTATGTGTGAAATTAGAACCTACCAAGTTTATCCATAACAAAGATATGAACCAGACACGAATTATGAAATTTTCTTCCAGTGACCTTGAACTTCCCGAAATAACCTCGGTTCAAGGTCATGACACACCCTTAGGTCAGGAGGAATCTTCTGTGAAATGAGAACCTACCAAGTTTATCCATAAGAAAGATATAGACCGGACACGAATTATGAATTTTTTCTTCCAGAGACCTTGAACTTCCCCAAATCACCTTGCTTCAAGGTCATGACACACACTTAGGTCATGGGCAATCTTTGTGTGGAGTAGTAGATTCTAATGTTCCTCCATAAGAAAGATATGGACCGGACACGTGTGCACAGACAGATGGACAACTAGACAGCTACATTGTAGACAGACAGCTAGACATACGGACGGACAAGGTGATTCTTATATAACTCCCCAAACCTCATTTCCGGTGGGTATAATTAGATTGCTTAAATGTAATGTGACAGAGTTGAAAAACACACTTGAAAAATTAGAGGTTCTTCATTCGTTTGTTTCTGATTTCATACCTTTAATTCTAGAATTCCATTGAACTATGATGTTGTTGTTTAAAATGACCTTGACCTGTGGTCTGCCAAAGAGAAAGTTTTTAATCTTCATAGCACCATTGACCTCAAGACGTGAAACACTCCCCTGCAAAGAAAAAGTGGTTTTACATGTATTAGAAATAAACTGTAAAAGCACAAATTTTCGTGGGGACAAAACTTCGTTGATATGTCATCAGAAATAGTTTTATGGGCATTTAATTTCGTTGTTTTGAGAGTAGGTCTATTCAATATAAAGTCAAATAAAATTTAATGTGGGATTTAATTTTTTTGATAATTGTTAACAACATAATAAATAAAATTTAATTCCACATGGATATTTGTGGTTTTACAGTATATAGAATGTAAACATCATTTTCTCAAAGGATGTTATATGCAATTCGTTAAAATATCAACTTGAGTTCTTTTAAGATATGGCAAAATTATTCAAAATAAGAGAATGTTAATTTGCAAATGGAGAGGGTTCAATGCAGAGTTTTACATATATTTCAGTAAATTGAATATAAAAATATTAATGTATGAGGGCTGCTTGTCATAACAATTTGTGGCTTTTATGCGATATTTACAACTGACATTTGAATTTACATAGTAAAACTGCATTCTCTCAACTTTCTTTGGAGTAAATTTACCACTACTATTGTTTAAAATATAGAGTAGACAAACTGAAAAGAAACAAAATTACAACAAAAAATCAATAAACTTACATCAGCATTTATAACACTTGTGATCTTTTCTATGACATCCACATATAGTTTATTCTTTCTCTTATCCTGAAATTTTAACTTGTAAAATAAATTTTTCAAAGCAAATTGAAAATAATGGATACAATTAAATTGCAATTTTTTAATCTTCTCTATCTCCATGAAAGAGGTGCAGAAAAAATATGCATAACTTCGTAGTAATTTAAATTTTAAATCCCTTCTACATGGAAGTAAAATAACGTTGTACAGGTATAAACACGATATGTGGGTCACTTGACATAGTTAAAAGATACCGAGCTACAGGATCGATAGGACACCTGCCATTACCATCAAAAGTCGGGTAATATCTTCATTGATTTTGTAACATTTGCATTATTATAAGTTCTAATATTTTCCTTGAAAATTCAATTTTAAGAATTCAGGTAAAACATGATTTGTGTCCTATTTCTATAACTGAGGCGTTGGTTGATCAAGTATGAGCAAGAAAAATCAAAGGCCTGAAGGGCCTGCGAGTTGAGCTTTTTCATACATCTGGGCACCATACCTTAATATATTCAGTTTGTTTTGCATCTTAAGAGATTGAATATTATATGTCTGATCCATGTTAGGTTCATAAATAAAGTGTATATTCTTTTTCCTTTATATATACAGGTTGGCACTAATGGGCTTCCGTATTATTTTGACTGGATTCTATAATGAACTTAAGCACATTAGCTGAAGTGGTCAGTGTTATGGAATAATTAGGTTAAAGATTCCCACAGCATATCTGGATTCTAAACATAGATTTTCAACAACAACTAGCTGCAGCTAATGAGAGCAGCAGGTGTTAGAGAGTATTCTAGGTCAATTATAAATAAACTTCAGATGGGAAGATTACATCCGCCTAACATGCTTGAACATTTATTCATACGCAGTAATTGTTCATTGCACAGGTATTTAATCAAAAATGTCTTTAAAAGCATGAAAGCATAAATAATGTTACAGTATGAAATTTTAACAGTTTTTACCTCTTAAGTTTATACAATCACTCAAACCAAAGCATCCTTTGCTAGAACTATTATATTTGGCGTATGGATCACCTTAATGAATGCGTGAAAAATTTTACAGCTCTGAAACGGCTATGTCGACAGGGAGTAGCTCGCTACGCGAGCCAACTCAAAAATGGCTGATCTCTGTAATGATCCAAGGACAAGATAACAAAAACAAGAACGTTTGATCTAAATAGAGAAATTATTTTTTATAGTTCTGGACATAAACTGATTAAAAAAGTGTGAAACATTATTATGTGAGAATGAATTGCTAGCTATTTCTCAAACGATTTTTATTTGCATGATCTAGTACAGAATTGGCATTTGACCCTCTTGTCACTCTCCAGGTTTGAGCACTGTACAATTGATGTATCTATTTTTTTTTCTACGTATGGAACTACATGTACGTATATTGTCTTTCTGATGATAATGTAATTTTACCTAAGTTCAAGGAAAGTTAAAACAGAGTTCAATATGTTATATAGTTCACAAGGTTAATGTAAATTTAAGTTTTCATAAGATAAATTGACTTATAATTGTCACACTAACTGTATATTTCAGAGTTAAAAGTTTAATCATGGACCCCCGTACCAATGCCAAGGACTTGATGCGATGTGACCTGTGTGAGACCGCTGTGGTACAGATGCACTGTGATACATGTCTTGTCAACCTGTGTAAGGCTTGTGTAGGAGAACATGTTTCTGCTGATCTCTCAAAACCTCATAAAATTGTTGATTTCAAGGACAGAAAATCCAAGCCCCTCTACCCGGAGTGTTTAACTCATGATAAAGAAAGATGTAAAATGTACTGTAAGCACTGTAACTTCCCTGTTTGCAATAAGTGTATTGCATCTGATCAACATTTAGGTCATAAATTATCTGAAATATTGGAAGTTCTAGATGAAAAAAAAGACAAACTAAGCAAAGATCAAACTGAATTAAATGATGTCATTTATCCAACCTACCAAGACATTGCCTCTGATTTACAAAACAGAATGAGTCAGTTAGAAAAGGAATATGGAGATCTCTCAACATCCATAACAAAACATGGAGAGGACTGGCACAGAGAAATTGACAAACATGTCAAGAAACTTAAAGCTGAAGTTGATGAGATGAAAAACACACAGTTACAAACTATACACACACATCTTGATGAAATAAACAAGAAAATTATTCAAATCAAAGATGAAATCGATTCAATTGACAAAGCTTTTACTTCTTGTGATATTTCAAAACTATTTAGCGCTACATTAAACGTAGATAAATATAAACAACTACCATATAAAATTGTTCTCTCCCCACCCTCATTCACTCAAGGAAGAATCAATGGAGAGAAACTTAGTAAACTGTTTGGAACTTTATCTTCAACTTCTCCATCTATAGAAAAGAATGGCTACAGTATGAAGACAACACAGAATTTACCAGAAGCCGGATCCTCTCCTCCAGTCAAACAGCTGCTTGATAAACCAGAGACAGTCACCACCATTCACACTGGGTATAAATATAACCTTTACAATGTGGCCTGTCTGAGTGATGAAGAAATCTGGACAAGTGGAGAGGACAACACACTGAAACTATTCAGCATCAATCAGGGATCACTACTCAAGTCAATCATAACCAAGTCAGGGAACTGGCCATCTTCCATAGCAGTGACAAAAAGTGGAGATCTAGTTTATACTGATTTCAAAGATAGAACTGTGAGCATTGTGAAGAATGAGAAGATAGAGGAGGTGATCAGACTACAGAACTGGAAACTTGGCGGAGTCTGTAGTACCTCCTCTGGTGACCTCCTGGTTATCATGAGCAGTGATGATTACAAACAAACAAAAGTTGTCCGTTACTCTGGCTCCACAGAGAAACAAACCATTCAGTTTGATAAATGTAAACCTCTCTATTCCTATGGTCCCTGTTGCAGATACATTACTGAGAACAGGAACCTGGATATTTGTGTCTCTGACAGTAAAGTTGGAGCAGTAGTGGCGGTCAATCAGGCTGGGAAACTAAGATTCAAGTACACTGGACATATTCCTGCTTCAAAGAACAATTCATTCTATCCACAAGGAATCACCACAGACAGTCAGAGTCACATCCTTACAGCTGATATTTACAATGACTGTGTCCACATCATAGACCAAGATGGACAGTTCCTCCGTTACATAGACTGTGGACTGAGTAGACCCTGGGGACTATGTACAGACACAACTGATAATCTGTTTGTTGCTCAAGAGAGAAATAAACAAGTGAAGAAAATCAAATATCTGCAGTGAAGTCCATCAGTATTTAGTATAGGCAATATAATTATGTTGATATATTAAAATCTGAATGAACATAATGCAAGTTATAAATGTGTCATACCTTTGTGTTCTAAATGTATTACATGACGTACAAAAAATAAATCATCTTTATGAAAATGTTTCAAACTGGAACACTTGATGAGTTTTCCCCTTTTTCATTAGGGAGTATGTTGTTCGATAATAAATAAGAAATAAAATATATTGACTCAAGTTATCAGGTCATATCAATTAAAATTTGAGAAAATGTTCCAAAAAAAATTGTAAAACATATACTCAGTCAGAAATTATACAAAATATATTGAAATTCCTTATATGTTCAAGAACATTCTCTTACACATACACCCTTCATTTCTATTTTGATGTAAACACTAGGACAGCAATATGAGATGATGTCTGTAACAGAGGAGTGTATTAGACTGTTCTGCCTGGAGACTGATTGGTTGATTGCATATTGTTTAAAGTCCCTCTCAAGAATTTTTCACTCATATGTAGACGCCACCACTTGCCGGTGGAGAGCTGCAAATTTTGTCCTATACTCGGCACTCAGGGCCATTGAGCAGGGAGGGATCTTTTTCATGCCAGCACCTACTGCGACACGAGACCTCGGTTTATACGGTCTCATCCGAAGGACCGGTCTCCATGTCCCACAGTGGGATTCGAACCTGCGATGTAAAGATTAAATTCTTACTTTGCGACTCTAGAGCAGACGCTCTAACCACTGCGCCAAGCGGGCGACTTGTGCCTGGAGAAGTACTTTTTTATGTTGTTTATCCTAAACTGTTTGACAACCTCCCCCTAAAAAAGGCAGCTCCTGATCATTTTCTCATTTAAAGCAATATGAGCTGCAAATTTGATGTCAGAAAGTTTTGTTGCAATATTATAAATAACTATTTCAATTACAGAAATAAAGAACATTTTTGAACTTCATATTTGCGATGAGAGAACTTTTTAAAGCTTTGATTAAAGCAAATTTACATTATTTTCCTTCTGTACAATATTGATTTCTTATAAAATATAGATTACTATTACTACATATACATTCCATTGTACAGACATAATTATTTTTTCTGAAATAAATTAATATACTGAAAGGAAAAAGAAACGCATAATAAACTTTTGAATAAGATTAAAATTTTTATTTCCAATATGTTTTCCAGTATTGTTATCAAACAATTTAATCCAACTTTAAACAACAAGTAACCAAAATCTTGTGTGACTTTGACTGATAAATCCTGAGTTATTGAAATTGATATGTCGATACCCCTCAAAATTAAAATAAAAATTCTCATCATCTCTCTTGCGCATCAGTAACAGCCTTGATTTTCTTGTGCATTGAGTTCATCAGAGCATTTATCTTTCTCATAGAATTCAAAACAAAGAAAAGCTGGAGACCAACATCTTGAGGTTAAAATTGCGGAAGATTCTCACGTGTGGATACCGAAAGGTATTCAATAGGGTCTGTAACTAAAGTTATAAACTTAAAAGTATAAAACAGATCACCAACACTTCGTGAGAATGCAGCAGTAAATTTATTTTGTTGACCGGTTTCGACCTGTGACGGTCGTCATCAGAACAATCAAGCATGTAAATATATCTACTGAAGTAAAAAATGCGGATTACGTTGCTATATACACACAAAAATGCGGATGGCGTTGCTATATACAAAATAAAATGCGGAGTATTTGCACATTTGCGGACTTGCTTAACAATGACACTTTATACAAGATATAATCAATTTACGTTTCTTCTTAAGTTTTTCTGACTTAAGATTTAGTCAGTAAATAAAATTATTGTTTTATGATTAATAAAATTGTCCATGAATTGTGTGAATTATTATTCTTCTGTTTCATCATCAAGCTGTTCCGGTAGACTGTGACGTCACAATGGAAAAAATACGGATGGTTTGTACATGTATATATAGAGTGCGTAAAATTATACAAATGGACATTAGATTACATTTCCTATAAATGTTGGGATAACATAAAATGTAATTTGGTTTCATAAATTGCTACTTCTAAATAGTTCTATTTTATGGAGGGTACTAATTGTTCGTAAAATTACATTAAAATAATTAACATTTATTAATATCAACAACGCAAATTTCTTTAAAATGTTCAAGCGTTCCTTGAAGTTTTATGACGAAATTCGTTCAGACGAAATGGGAAGGTATGTTGATCCTTGCTTCAATTCGTTCATTACATAAAGGGGGGGGGGGTGTAGTTAACAATTACTGGGATTTTTTATTGTCCTTGAATGCTTTTGTTTATTCATTATCGGCTTCCTTCTTCCTCATAAAGTTTGGGATCGCAGTTAATAGATCGTTTATATGTTCCATTTCGTTAGTGTTTTCTTTGTTTTTAAGCTGGAATTTTAAATCAAGTATCTGTGTATTAATCGTATTAATTCTAGTATTCCAATATTCATAAAGTAAGTGGATGAGGCTGCGGCTAAAATTAAGATGTGCTTCCTCCCAGTTTAGGAGAAATAAAGCATTACTGTCTGGAATTTGTGGAGCAATTTTGGCTCTTAGTGTTTTTGGTATGAGGTCCTGTTGTTGGCATTTATCAGGTATGCGGCATGGCTTTTAGTTCTTTGGAGTTTGATATGAAGTTTTCGGAGTGTCCTAAAAATGGCAACATTTTCTTCTGATATTTTCGGTTTCTCGGAAGATTCCACTGGATCGGATGTTGCAATGGAGGTTTCTTTCCCTGCCGTTTCGTGTAGAGATTTCAAAGTTGTTTCTGAATATTCTATATCCGTATCAGAGTGGGAAGAATTTTAGAATCTTTTTTGGGGGTTACTGATAGAATTATCAATCAAACTTTCCAACAATAGTCGTTAATGGTTGAGAGTATCTGTGTTATTCCAAAGCCAACAAATCCCCACCCCCCGCCCTATGAATCCCACGAATTTTCGATTTAGGATAGAATTTACACTATCTAGCTGATTTGGTACATGTGAATGTTTGTAAGGAAGTATCGACAAACACTGGCTACATTTTCTCAGCGTAAACATGCTAAAAACATTACGCATACAGCGCATACGTGCGCGTGTGAGACTAAAATCGATGTAAAGTTGCCAAGCTTGCTTACCAAATTAGAGCAGAGAGTTCTGTCAGTATTAGGGTTAAAATATGAGTCTGACTGTCTGCTGTAAAAATATCGGTGTCAGTGATAATGACTTGACAATAACCGAGGTAGCATGATGAAAAGCCCTATCTTGATGTGACATTGTTACGCGCCAATGTCACCCTCATGGTTGGTTGGAAACCTTTTAAGTTACTCTCTGACAACCGAAAAAACTATTGTAGTTAAAAAAATTTAAAAACAAACTGCATTGCAACATGTTGTTGCCTTTTTACTCACTAGTGGAATTCAATTACTAGACCCTATATGTAACTTCTGTCAGCCATACCATGATTGCAAGAAATTTATACTGACTGCAAATATCGCAAAACAATGTCTGAACTCTAATGCATTGATTGGCACTACAAAATGGGTTCACAAAAATGTCATCATCAACATGCACGTGTTTTTGGCTTTTTATCACTTCCCATACGTGACACCATACATTTCATGGTCGAGTAATTTTGACCAGCAATTTTAGTGCACAGTAACCAAATTACACATCTGACCAATTTTCATAATTTTCGGCCACATAGTTAAATATTTTCCACTATAAAGCTATTATGTGTTTCTTTTTCCTTTCAGTATACTTCATTTGAGTCTTATTGGATATAAAGGATTATAATACATGTATAAATTTATCATAAGAGCATTTTAACAGCAAAATAGAATTTTCAAAAATGCAGCTCATATTGCTTTTATAAAGATAAAAAAGCTTGCTTTAAGTACTCAGGTCTCGAAAGTCTTAAAATGGTCTCTGTAAAACTGAGGAAAAACAATTAACAATGATTCAAATTAATTTACTTAATTTTACTGTTAGCGAAATTTTTACCGACTTCAAAGAATCATTAAGAATTAACAATTGTTGTATTTTAGGTCCAAAATACTTCTCCAAGAGACTGACTTTTTGTTCTATTATATGTTTTCTGTACTGAAGTATGCCTACCTTCTGGACAGAGGAACTTATGACAGGTCTGTCTGTGGCTGGGATAGGGCTGGTTTTTGTTTCTATGCCAAACTGAAAACAGAAGTATTTGAAATATTTCAAATATTGCCAAAGTTTTCTTAATGAATATAATTAACATTGTATAATCACAAGAAATATCCACTTAAAGAATTATGATAATGTAAGGGTAAAATAAATTATTTTCGTAGGGTCAAATTTTATAATTTATAATGGAAAAATTACCTCTTCTGTGGAATTTATTTTCAGATTCATTGAATTAGAAAAAGCATGAACTTTATAAATTTTTAATGACAAGTCCTATGAATTCCTTTTGGATTTGTAAGTGAGTTAAAATTTCTTGGAGGACATGAAATTTTCTGTCTCTTCATATCATAAAAGCAACAAAAATTAACCCCGTATGAAAATGTGTTTCCACAAAGCTAGAGATCACACCAAACTAGGAATCACATTACACGATTGCAACATAGGGAAGCATTTTTTAATTGCACTCAACACGTCTGATGTAATATCCTGTGCTTGTTATTGTTAATTACATCTGTGATGTAATATCCTGTATTGGTTAATTTTAACTTTACTCACCACCCGTGATGTAATATCCTGTATTGGTTATTTTTAACTTTACTCACCACCCGTGATGTAATATCCTGTGTTGGTTATTTTTAACTTTACTCACCACCCGTGATGTAATATGCTGTGTTGGCTGCCTCTTTATTCTGGTCAGTACCGGTGTGGATTGGATATGAGGCTGTAGTTTATCTGTAGTGGATAGCTGGACATATCCAAAGTCCTGTTTCAAAGGATTATGAAAACTACAATCTGTATATAGGGTATAAATGCACCAATAAAGCAGAGCACCATGTAGTAAAGAGAATACTGTAAATCACATTTTATTCGCGAGAACATTCGTTTCGCGTAATTACGCTCGCGAAGATTTCATTCTAGCGTATAATAGAATTCCTTAAGATTACATGGAGCAATGACCACTAATAGTGAATTCTTTGTCTCGCTAATGAATAATTTAAGACCATTTCGCGAAAATAAGGTGTCGCGAAAAATAAAGTGATCTACAGTATCTTTATATCAAGGCAATATATGAGGGCAACATTCTACATCAATTCCTGACATTTTTGTTTCACACAGACTTGCTCACCCTCTCACCCACAAACCCACATGATTACATTACTATACTATAGTATCCCCTTCAACTCTGTTGCAAGGGAATGATAATATTTAACCTTTTCCATATCACATTTAATATGTTGATTGTACTGAAGATGATGGCTTTAGTAACTTCTGTTAGTGCACTCACCAGAAATATATTGAGAACCTCTAGAACCAAGAGAAGATTTTCTTGTAACGATTCCTCTGATACCACGCCACAAAAATCCTTAAGGACATGGTAAAATCTGTAGAATATAGGGAAATAATTAAATGACAATATCAGATACCAAGAAATGTTATTAAAGTGGTTGGTAAATGTAAAATATATAGCGGGAAATTTATTTAGTAATATACATTGTATTCAAAAAGATGAATGAATAAGAGCCAGATACAACATAACTATACCCACCTAATTCTACGATATGAACAAGGTTCATCAAAATTTACATCTTTGCTTCCTGTGATTAAATTACGAGTAGCTCTACTACAGAAGCACACATTTTATAGGGATGAAATTTTTGTTAATTTGTCATCAAAAACGATTTCATTGTTTTAAAAGTAATTTTATTTCATTATACATTCTTAAGAATTCTTAAGAATGTTGTGTGTGATTCAATATAAGATACGAAATACTGGAATTGTTGTAAGAGGATTAATCAAGCCATTGTTCTGACCCCACAACCTCACAAATATCGACTTCAAAATTTCAAATTAACAGAGTATGGTCATAGCAATCCCGCTAATCAGCTATACTACAAGCTAAGCTACTAGTCCAGAATATTTGTCAGAAAATTTGTTATAAGTTTAAGAGTGCTAAGGCTACTTAATAAACATTAGACAGAAAACTGCCTACAGGACATTGAACGAATTTGTTGGCGGTGGTGTAATGATATGGAAAACGGCATTATTCTAAAATGATATTGTAATTATATTAATCCGTAATCTTAAATTAGGCTGAATATTATTGCCTCATATATAAAATATCCTGAGTTGACATGGCAAGTTTCTTTTCCCAATCTCGTTCCTTACTTCATTGATATGTCACTAACTAAATGTTAAACTAAAGAATTTCCAAATTTCTGTCGGAAAAATGAGAGAAAAATATCAGAAGTAAACTTAATATGAAAATATTGTCCATTATCAATTATTTTTACACAACTTTCCACTATTGCTGCTAAATTCTTTCAAGACATACTTTTAAATCAGAAACCATTCATTAAAAACCCAGTCTGAATTACTTATGATAATAAAATATCAAAAATTAACATGCAAAAATGACTTTCTACACAAACTTTCCTATCAAAAATTACTGTTATCACATTTTTTTCAGAGGATCTGAACGACAATCTGGAATTTCCAGATGTGGAATCAGGAGGAAGCATCCCTTGTCAACCCATCACATTCATCATACAATGTATTCCCCATTTATTGATCAGGTGGACGAAATTCTCAGTACATATATGAGAAATAAATAAATAGGTGCTGATGCATAATATAAAATACTCATCACCCCCCTCCTTCAACCTGTCATTGGTAAAATATTAAAATATTCACCATGACGTTTCAGGGCAGAAACCAGAAATTCATGTAACGAAGTTTGTGACTGGCCTCCTCCTACTCTAAGAGTTTATTTTCCATTGAGCGGGTGGGTGGGGGTCAAGATTAATTTTATTAGTATTCTCTGCAAATGGTCAATATGTAATCACTTAATTATTTTCATGAGGGGTTAATGGTTGTTGCTTTTATATACCATGAATATATCCCAAATCCACAAACTCCATAACATGTGATAAGATAAACTGCCCAGAATGCTGATTCTTCAATTTAATTATGCAATATTTCTGTTTACTATTTCGCCATATCAAAGCATACAATTTATAACATATTTAGAAGAACGTTCATATAAACATTGGACTTGTAATGATCAACATTTTTTTCTTTATCAGTGAGATATAATGAGATAATAATTACGATGTGCAACAAGTTTGTGATTATTTTATCAGAAAGTGGTAAACAGGCTTTGTGAAACAATATAGTAAAGTTGTTGTCATCAGTATCTTACATTGTACTTAACTTCATCTAAAACATCTGATTGAGGATATCCAAGTTTTCTACAAATTGAGAGATTTAAATTACATGTATCTATCACAAAAACATTTTGTACAAATTGTAATGATCAAGGAAATTTTGTTAAGTTAGCATAAAAATAGACTGCACATATTTTCTTATAATAATATAATATCTACTCTTTAGTATCATTGCTACACAAGTTTAACAAGAAATGAATCACTGACAGTTATGTATCTCAGCCACTTCTGTGGAGTTGTCTGCTCTTGATTCACAATTTTCACAGTTTTTATCTTCATCCCTGATAGTAAATGGCCAGAAATCTCAAACTCCATTCTAAGAGGTCCAACATCTTCCCTGTTTAGTGCACCGCTTTGACTAATCAACTAAAAACAAGAATGAAGTAGAAAAATAAATGGTACATTATACATGTACATGGATAAGGTATTAATAGTCCAAAGCAGTAAAACCTTTATATCAAAAATTCAAGACTAAAATATTCTTTGGACTTCCTCAAACCCGATTAGAATTTTATTTAAAATAAAAAGTTAAATTTTCTGCCCAACTGAAAGTTTGTTGTACTTTGCAAAACTGCTTACAAAACGCTGATTCAACCATCAATAAAACAATGACATCTAATAAAAAAAAAAAGATTCACATGAATTTAAAGTAATATACGCTATAACGTGCGCCATTTTAAAATACGGCTGGAAATTTATGCATTTTGTTTACCAATAAAAGTTACGAAAATGCTGTAAATTACACCATTTAAATAAAATTCGTTATAAAGTTATCAAATTATAATTATTTATTATCCTGCAAGGAGAATAATGTCTATTTTTAAGTAAATCCACCACGTGACGCCGTCGCTACTTTTAGATTGATAAACAAACACGGCGTCAAGAAAACGAGGTAAGCCCTTTGAGATACAACTCACTTTTGACATAGATGGCGTGTTACTATTAATATAACTTATCTTTAAATGTAATCAGTATCAACCATCTATACTCTGTTATGACGCATATTAACCTTTTATTAATAATCGTTGTCAAAATGCAACGTGTCTCGTTGTCTATAATTTCCCATGGACATACGTGTCTATATTTAGACCTACTGTTTACGCACTTCCTTTATCAATATTCATGAAAAGACTGAATTCTTGATTGCAGATATTGCTTTATTGTTCTGTTATTACAACGAGTTTTATAGTTAAATTTTGTGGAAATATTATTTTTTCATTACACTTTATGTGTTTCAGATCATTTAATCATTTTGTTTTACATACAAATCGGCATCCATACGGCGTATATTACTTTAAACCAAGTTTGTATGTACATGTTGATTTGACCTACCCTAAACTGAGCGACGGATTCAGTGTGAGGAGCCAATGATTTTAATTTCCATAAAATAGTACTGTCTGCCTTTTCCAGTGTGGCTGTTTGCTCACTGCTGTCTAGGTGCTGAGAAATGCTAGTTAATTAAAAATAAAGGATACAATAATATACTTGCAGCAAAAGTATACAATATTTATAAAATTAATCAATTAAAAATTGCTAGGTTTCTACATACATCCAGTTTTATTGCATAAGTCATCTATGCATTTATGTATTAAAGTAATATACGCTATAACGTGCGCCATTTTAAAATACGGCTGGAAATTTATGCATTTTGTTTACCAATAAAAGTTACGAAAATGCTATAAATTACACCATTTAAATAAAATTCGTTATAAAGTTATCAAATTATAATTATTTATTATCCTGCAAGGAGAATAATGTCTATTTTTAAGTAAATCCACCACGTGACGCCGTCGCTACTTTTAGATTGATAAACAAACACGGCGTCAAGAAAACGAGGTAAGCCCTTTGAGATACAACTCACTTTTGACATAGATGGCGTGTTACTATTAATATAACTTATCTTTAAATGTAATCAGTATCAACCATCTATACTCTGTTATGACGCATATTAACCTTTTATTAATAATCGTTGTCAAAATGCAACGTGTCTCGTTGTCTATAATTTCCCATGGACATACGTGTCTATATTTAGACCTACTGTTTACGCACTTCCTTTATCAATATTCATGAAAAGACTGAATTCTTGATTGCAGATATTGCTTTATTGTTCTGTTATTACAACGAGTTTTATAGTTAAATTTTGTGGAAATATTATTTTTTCATTACACTTTATGTGTTTCAGATCATTTAATCATTTTGTTTTACATACAAATCGGCATCCATACGGCGTATATTACTTTAAAGATTGTATCTTAACTCTAATTTTACATTCTATCACCATAAACACGTAAATTCAGTTAGATAACTTACTTAGACACAGACTGAGGGACCCCAAACTTCAGTCTAAGGTTGACAGAGGAGACAGGTAACATGTTCTTTATCCTCAGACAAACCATCACATCCCTGGAATAGAATAC